TTTTTTTTTTTTTTTTTAAAAGAACCGGGGATTGAACTCGGGTCCTTGCGCTTGCAAGGCAGGCCACCAAACTGCTGAGCTAAATCCCCAGCCCCAAATGTAATTATCTTTAAGTGGGCAGAAAGCAACACCCAGCAAAGGGAAGCGGAAGACAGTGGGACGAAGTAATCACAAGCTTCTTTCTGTATGCATGTACACTGAACTGGGGATTGAATCCAAGGGCTTTGTACATGCTAGGTAAGCACTATCCCCAGTCTTTTTTTTACTTGTGAGATAGGGTTTCTGTATTATGCAGGCTGGTCTCCAACACTTTTTTTTTGGTACCAGGGGTCGAACTCAGGACCTCACGCTTGCGAGGAAGATGTGGGGCCACTGAGCTAAATCCCTGGCACTCCAACTTTTGATTCTCCTGCCTCAGCTTCCCAGTAGCTGATATTACACACTTGTGTTATTGTGCTAATCTTTAATAACTTTGTTTTGACAAGCAATGGAAAACTGTTTGAACAAGGTTGAAAGGATAAAATAGCCAAGATCTAAGAAACTACAGAATCCTAGATAATGAAGATATAAGCAGAGTTTTGTAAGATGAATCATCATGGGTGTCAAAACCATTAAATGAATAGATGACAGAGAAATGAGCATATGAACATGAACAGCATGTTTTGGAAGGGAAAAAAAAGCATTAACCATAATGATAATGATCAGGTAATTACTTCCAAGATAGCATTCAATCTTAGTATTAGGAATAGTGCTACAACTAGATTATATATCCTTTGATGTGATGCTATCTGGAAGACTGTCAAGATACATAAATAAGTCTTTCTCAAAAATATGGTCAGCACACACACACACAGAAAAATCTTTCCCAACCTTAAAATAGATTACAGGATTCAAAATCAATACACAAAAGTCAACAGTGTTCCTTTATACCAAAAATGAACCTACCAAGAAAGAAATCAGGAAAAGAATTCCATTCACAAATAACTAGGAATCAACCTGCCCAAGAAGACTTCTATAATGAAAATTACAGAACTCTAAAGAAATTAAGGATTTCATTAGAAAACAAAGATATCTCTTGTTCTTGTATTAGAAGGACTAATATTGTAAAAATAGCAATATTACCAAAATCAATATATGGATTTAATGTAATCCCTATTACAATACTAACACCATTCTTCATAGAACCAGAAAAAACACTCCTAAAATTCATATGGAAAAGCTGGGAGTGGTGGGCACAGGTCTGTAATCCCAACATGTTGGGAGGCTGAGGCAGGAGAATGGCAAATTTGAGGCCAGCCTGGGCAATTACCATGATCCTGTCTCAAAATAAAAGGACAGACAGAAAGATGGACTGGTGATGTAGTTCATGGTGAAGGCTCTGGGCTCAATCTTTAGAAAATCTCAATCTCTAAAAAAACAAAGAAAATAAAATTCTCATGAAACCAGAATATGGGCAAATAATAGCCAGAGCAATCCTGAGCAAAAAGATCAAACTTGGTAGGCATCACAATGTTGGACTTCAAATTATATTTCAAAACTATGTTATAAAAACAGCATGACACTGGCATAAAAACAGACATGTAAACCATCAGAACAGCACAGAAGTCAGAGAAACAACCCCATGCAACTAGGTCATCTGATTTTGACAAAAGGATAAAAAAATCTGGGAGAAAAGATAGCCTCTTCAACAAATGGTGCTAGGAAAACTGGATGACTTGCAAAAGACTGAAACTAAATTCTATTTCTCACCCTGTACTAAAATCAAATCAAACTAGTTCAAAGACCAGACAAAAATAAGAGAAAATTGGCAATTGCTGCATGAAAATGTAGGGGGAACACTTGAAGACATAAGCTGGAAAACTCCCTGGACAGAACTCGAACAGTACAGAAAATAGTATCAAGAATTAACAAACCAGGGCCTGGGATTTTTTAGCTCAGTGGTGCCACTGCCTGCCTCAAAAGTGCAAGGCCCAAGTTTCTGCATAGTATAGGAAACAATAAAAACAGTGAAGTGAAAATGTACAAGAAAATTTTTGCTAATTACTGACAGAAGAGTAATAGCTTGCCAGAAATGGCTGCACACACCTGTAATCCTAGCACTTGGGAGGCTTAGGCAGGAGGTTCGCCTTTTGAGGTCAGCCTGGGCTACACAGTGAGTTCAAGACTAGACTGAACTACTTAGCAAAACCCAGTTTCAAAAAGAAAAAAAAATAAATAAAGAGACTAATAGCTAGAATATAAAGAACTAAAAACAAACAAACAAAAAATACCAAAAACCCCACATACCTGAAAAAACAAATGATCCATTCAAGAAACAAGCAAATGAACTGGACACTGCTCAAAATAAGTACATGCAAATGGCCAAAGGTACATGAAAAAATGCCCAACATCTTGAGCCATTAGGCAAGTGCAAATCAAAATAACTTTGAAATTCCACCTTACTCCAGTCAAAATTGCTACCAAATAAGCGTGTGCGCGCACACACACATATCAATGAACTCTGATGGGGTGGGGACTAGGAATGGAGAACAATCACTGCGAAAATCAGTATGAACATTCCTCAAAAAACTAAAAATAAGAATTCCATTTGACCTAGCTATACCTGTCCTGGGTATATTCATGAAAGAATTAAAGACATCATATTATAGTGAGACAGGGATATCCATATTTATGGTGGCACAATTTGCAATAGGTTAAGTTCTGAAAAAAGCCTAGATACCTATCAACTGATGAACGAAGAAAATGTGGTGTGTATACAATATGGAATATTATTCAGTCATAATGAAAACATGTCATTTGCAGGAAAATGAATAGAATTTAACACCATCACAAGTAAAATAAACCAGGCCCAGAAAGTTAAATATAGTATGTTTTTTCTCATATGAGAAATAAAAAAATATAAATAAATGGAATAAAGAACATACAACAGAAAACTAGAAGGCAAACTGTTGGATAAGAGGATAGGTGAGAGAAAAAGGAGAGAAGAGTAAAGGGATTGAAAATGATCAGATATTATATGCATGTACTGTGCCAAATCCTCAAAATGAACATCACTATTCTGTATCACAAATTCACTAAAAACAAAAACCAAAAAACACAAATTATTCAATTTTTCTCTTAATATTTTTTCTTAAATTATTTTTTGAAGTAGTTTAAAAAATGCAGCAGAAAAAAAATCTGTCCGCTACAATGGAAGACAAAAACATTAAATGTACAGCATTTAATAAAATAAGAGCTTTAGGTGTTTTGGGAGCCCAGATAGTAGTAGTAGTATAAACGGCAGCACCCATTCCCAGTGCCTAACCTAGCTTGGCTGTGGGGACAGGGACCACTCAAGCAATAATTATTTGCTTTCAATAGCGAACCTCACAGAACGAACATCCAACTTTGGCCTTAAGTATATTAAACAGGAAAGCGGAATAAAGCGACTCTCAATAGAGATATTTTCCTTCTTAATTTCAGCGAAAGCTTCAGCAGAATAACGTTAAGATGAATCCTGATTCTACAATGAGTTTTTAAAAAATTAATTAATTAATTAAAAAAAATAAATTAGGATGCAGTTCTAACTCCCCACACCAGAGGGAGGACGTAAAGGTCAAGAAGTTTCTGTGCTATTCCACTGAGCTCCCAGTGAAGAAATCAACTTTTAAGAACACTACAGGGGTCCCAACGTGAAGACAAAGGTAAACAGGTTACTTCAAAGTACAAGGACCTGGGATGAGGTGGGAGCGTGAGGTGTGTCGAGGGTGCCAAGCACGATCCCTGGAGCCAAGGGGAAGGACAAACATTGCCTTGACGCCAGCGACAGATTCGATTCCCTCCGAGAGCTGCCCGGCGCAGTTCCCCCGCGCGCGAGCTCAGCAACGGGACGGTTGACGTCACCGCGGGACACGACTCGCCGCGAGTGAAGCCCTGGGCCGAGG